AAATCCTCTTTGAAGTCATTTTGCAAAGAAAATTGGTTGGGTACCCCTATATTACAAGATCATTTTTATGTGTCAACCATTTCACTCAATTTTAAGGTAGAATTAGGGACCATTTCTCATAATGTAAGTCTGTGGGAAAATCAATACGTGAGTCTGACCTTCTTCACAAAAAACATACCGGAAAAGATAAAATGACCCGAAAATTTTAAAAGACAAAAGTGCACACAATCAGACGTTAATTCACCAAAAGTTACCGTAGAGAAGACAGTTCAAATTAAGTAAATTAAACGTCAGCGTAAATATGATTGTCATAAAAACTACATTTGTCATAAAAACTAACTTTTTTTACAAGCTCATATCTTTGCGCTTTAAGCATTTTTTGCTGTTTTTAAAAAGTGGCGTTATATAATATAAGATTAAATTTGATTGGCCAAATAATTTTTTGAGTCCAGCTCAGACATTTTAATCATGTAAAATGCATAGGCACTTGGTTTCGGGATAAAAAGCCTTTTGAAGGGTTTGTATGACTCAAATTTGATTGAATGTAACGATTTTTTAACGTAGATGTCTCGATTCTAAATTCGACATTTTCCCGATATTACTAGTGTTTTTTTAGTAATATCGGGAAAATGTCGAATTTAGAATCGAGACATCTACGTTAAAAAATCGTTACATTCAATCAAATTTGAGTCATACAAACCCTTCAAAAGGCTTTTTATCCCGAAACCAAGTGCCTATGGTAAAATGATGGAAGCCATGCACCGGTTAAAATTATGACAGAGTTCAGAGCTGCATTACTGGTACTGCAATGATTTTGAAAGTACTGGTACTGATACTGAATAACGCTACTACTGGTACTGCATTACTGTCATAAAAAGTGGTCATGTTACTGCATTACTATTTGATAAAAATGTCATTTTTTCTCTTTGTGTTTACGAGTAAAAAAGCGCAATATATAAACACTAATTAGGGGCCTAATTAATTGTTTCTATTCAAAATAAATCCTACTTCAAGTGATATTGTCAGCACCATAAAAAGTTGTTACATTGGTATAAATTGAAAAGAGGTGTGAAAGGCAACAAAAGTCTGTTGTGTTTTGAAAGAAAGAATATTGTATTGTATTACAGTTGACTGGTTACTAAATAGTATGATATGAATTTATGTTGTAAATATTGTTTTGTATAAAGTATGATAACCATTAAAATTCTGGAAACAAAGTGATCCCTCGGAAGCATTAATCACAACAAAATTACAAGAGAATTGCAGACTCGGTTTGATTGAGTCTGTACATGAGTGATACTTTAAACGTGCAACATCCCTCACGCACCCTAGCACCGGCTTGAGCGGTACTCAATTCTCAACACTTAATAGTGTTGGCATCAATGATCCGAAGGACCAGAAAAATATTACAACACTGAAGTGAAGTACGGGGCAACTTTTTACAGCTGCCACACATCACTTGACACCTGCTGTTGTGAAGTATAAAAAAATCTGGAAACAAAGTGATCCCTCGGAAGCATTTTACATTAAAGTCGTAAAAATGTAATGTTAACTTTAAAACAATAATATTTCCATTTTTTATGTTGATTTTTTTTTAAAGTGTATGTGGAATGGAAATAATTGTTTAAAAAAACGTATCATTGTAAAATGTGTAAATATACAAAATATGTTATTTTTGTTTGACAGTGTGATTCTATTCAAAACATGATGAATATATAAAAGTACTGGTACTGATACTTAATTACTTCCTAAAAAAAGTACTGGTACTGCATAACTTGTCAAGTACTGGTACTTAAGTACTATATTAATTAGTACTGATGAAGCTCTTATATAGTTTTTAAGTTGTTTCCTATTTCGTCAGCATTAAACTCCTAACGTTATACCGACAATAGACAGCGGAAGTACATGTAGATCTTATTTCAACTTGAAAAAAAAACATAAAAAAAACAACAAAACAAAAGCAAACAAACCACAATGATCTCCCTTATTTGAAATAATATCTGTCTCAGCGGTGTTTACCGAATTTGTCGTTTTGATGCAGAATATTATATTTGTGTAGGCTCTGGCTCAGTACTTAATTTATTGAACGAGTTGAATAAAATTGCATTATGTGAGCCTTTGGCGAGCATAATATTTTTTTTTCAACGAGTTCAATAATAAATTCAGTATTGAACCTACACTAATTCAGTATCCTCTATGTCTATTTAGCACTTTGATATAACTGCTTCCTGATTGCACATATATTGTGTATTCACTTTTTAGTTTTTACACATACACAAATTTGACACCCGCAGTGTCGTTCATTCTTAGTCATGCTGTAAATTGATCGTGTTTCTAAAAGTACAGCATAGGTGACAGGCATAAAGAACATCTCATCCTAATTATCAATAAGTCATCCGAAGATTGGCGGAACGTTTCGCTTAATCTTTATAATAGCGAGCTCGATAGCAGGTCCCGAAGGGAGGGCCTGCTCGCAAAGAGAGCATTACGGTAACGCGAGTATATCCAGAAGTGATGGTTTTGAAAACTTTCCTCGGAAGTACAGCAAATTTATTGGTTATAAGTTTGCCTGCTCCTCATCGGAGGCGATCCATTTTTATTTGGAAATCGCAACTTTTCATCGTTTTCTGTAAGTCTTCGGATACGGACTTCGAACACAATAGTATGAATAAACAGAACGGATGTAGTATGTCGGTATGCTAAGAGGCTCAATATTAGGCTCAATGTTAGGTCCTTTATATAAATGGTCTCCCAAATATTTGCGAGGATGTTAACATAGATTTATATGCTGATGAATCCACGTTCCATAAACTGGAGATGCCATGTCAGTTATAGAGGAAAAACTACAATATAGCCATAATATGATTATTTAGTGGTGTAAAATAAATAATATACCTTTGCATCCTAAAAAATCTAGAAGTATGCTAGTAGGTAGTAGATTGCAAAATCATTAAATTTGAATTTGCAAAATTATTTCAGACCTTCTAATGGGAAAAACTATCAGAAAATTTATACAAAAGATTAAAGATATTGCCTTTCGAGAAAAGATGTATTTTCAAATCGGTGTTTATAAAGCACTGAATAATATGTCCACTCAATATATCGGAGACTTACTTAAAATATCAAATAATCAAAAGTATTATCTAAGATCGATATCTCACGGAAATTTAATTCCGTATTACAAACCACGTACTAATTATTTTAATGACACATTCCAATTTAATGCCATTTTTTTTTGAATTCCATACTGCTGACTATAAGAAAAAAATGTCAATATTTTAAAATAGTTTAAAGCAGCACGCCTCCAGATTCATGTTAAATTTCATGAAAATTGTGATATTTGACAGTCAAATATTGTGAGGTAAACAAAATAAAGTTATTTATATATTGCAGTTGGCACTTACAATCCATGCAAATAACCAAAGAGAGGTCAAAATATGCAAAAAAAAGCCCTTACTGCGTTAGTAACGCAGTAGAAATATGGGGATAAAATACTGCAAAATCAGTCTTAAATCGCAAATAACATGTAAACTTTAACATTGATCTTGATTGTTTTACCTTTCTTGAAATATTAGTACATTTTTCTCAATTTTCATTTTCTCGAAATATTTTGGCTCATCTGGAGGCGTGCAGCTTTAAATAATTACTTATCTAATCAACTTTAGCACGGTCCGTGTGTATTACATATACACGAGATACGCTCACTATGTTTTTCTAATAATGGGTGTATGTCTTAGTTTTTAGTTTTTTAATGTGTTAATTTTGTATTTTTTTTACTTTTTAAATTACAGATTAAAATGATGCACTGAGGAAAGTATTATGTTTTATGATAGATAAAATGAATTGTATGAATGTTCAGTATATGTGTTAAGATATATGTTAAAATTGTGATAACCATTAAAATTTTGATCATTTCTTTAACATCTTATATTTTCTTCGATTGATATGTGTTCTTTTCAATTTGTGTGTGTGTTTTTATTTCTTATTTTCCAAGGTCGCTTTGTAAATAAGGTGTTACAATCTGTGTATGTCTTAATGTGTGACCTTAGGTAAATAAAGTTATTATTATTATTATTATTATTATTATTATTATTTTAAGAAAATAACATGTAAACAAATGTTAATTTAATGCTGAAAGTTGTTGACAAGTTTATTTCACTTGCACTATAGTTTACCAAACAAAGCCGGGAAACAGTTTTTTACTGGTTTCCTTTCTCTATATGGTTCCCATTCAAATTGACATTTGGAATTTCTTGCCAATAACCTAATTGCAACTTTTCGGCCCTTACCGTCAGTCTTCGGATAAGGAACTCGCACACAATAGTCGGATACTGTATTTTACGGTGTTCCGTTTGGACAATCGTGATTTTTTCTTTCGTCCTTACCTGCGATGCACGATGGTACGATGGTAAAAACGCAATGATACGATGACACGATGATGAAAACACGATGGTACGATGGTGAAAACACGATGGTAAGATAGTGAAATCGCGATGTTGCGATGGTATGATGGTGAAAACGAGATGTTATATCGCGTTTCGACCATCGTACCATCGCGTTTTCACCAGCGTACCATCGAGCTTTTACCATCGTACAATCGCGCTTTCACGATAATGTTTTCATCATCGTGTCATCGCGCCATTGCGCTTTCGCCATTGTACCATCGCGTTTTCGTCATCGTATTAACTCCGAGGTTATTATTGGTGATAGACGAGGACGTTCCGATTGAGACGTCGCGGCAATAACAACTTCCGGTACGTTACTGTTTCGCTATCCTTTTCCTGGACTGGAATTAATATGAATAAGGCAAAGCCTTAAAGAAAGCTCTTTGACAGATATAATAGTACATAACACTATAATTTAAAGCCATTGGCGGCTACTGTCAATATCCTTAGATCTGCACAAATTCACTCAACACAATATTTTACATTTTCGTTTTAAAATGCAGTTCGGTATTTTATGCACTGCTTCCGTTTATTGGATTCAACTCGGTCGGACTTGATTCGTGAGTCGTGTACTCCGATGTCTGAATTTTTCAATCAAGTGCACCAGAGTTAGCACTCAGCAGGTGCGCGGAGTAACTCTTCATACACCACCAAAAGAGGTTGTGCATCTGGAGTGAACACGTGATTCAAAATGGCCGAGAGAAGGACAATGTTTGAATGCGACGAGTGTAAGAAATGGTTCTTTAGCATGGAGGTGTTTGTTAGACATCCTTGTGCCATGAGGGGTAATTCTTTTGTGCTATAAATTAATGATTAACAAAAAATAAAGATTTTTAAGCGAAACAGACGTGTCATTGTACATGGATGCCATACGTTTCAATCCAAAGACAAAATTAACACAATGGGCATGGTCATTATAAATATGCATCAATTTTAATATATTAAGGGATGATGAATAAGTTTGGCAAAATCAATCTGTATGAAATATTCAATCTACCCGTAATATGTTTCTTTTTTATTTCAAATTTGATTTAAACATGTTATAGTATTCCTTATCATTTATGACTTTATTTCACTTAAAATAAAAGTTAACATAAGTTAACATACAGTAGACATATTTATTTACAGTATAACAATATACAATACTTACAATATGTTGATAATGACAAAAGGGCCTAAAAATACAAAATTAGGTCCCATTTATTGTAAATAACAAAAGGCCGAATCATCCCGCAAAAACAGGTCCAACTTATTGAAAATAACTTAAGGACCAAATAAACCAGAAAAATTAGGCCCGAATCAACCGGCCTGAATAAGCCACGGTCCGAATAAGCTGGTATTCCATTTCACTATTGAGATGTTTTACTCCCAAAACAGTTCACACCTAGATGTTTCACTCCAACCGGTTTAAACTCCCCAGTAGTCATTATTATGCTGCTGACCGTTCCAAGGCGGCGCCCCTCTGTGTTCCTCAGATGTATGTCTATGTTGTTTTATACTGTTTTGGTGACACTTTTGCTCGTGTCTCTTGTTGTTTCTCGTCTACGGTAAGTATCTTCCCTTTGTCCCTACTTTTTATTTATTTTATTCCCCCCCCACCCTTCCCCGTGTCTCATGTCCCCTTCCCCTGTGCCTTTTGACATTATGGGTCTTATATTAAATCATTTATTTGTTTTGTTTTAGTTCCTTATTAGTTACTAATCTGATGTAGTGGTTTGCCTGCCCGTACTCTGCCTTGTGCCCTGTCCTGTTTTTCTTTGGGGTCCTCCTGGGCTCCTTGCCGCTGGCATGTTGCTGGGTCGGGTGGGGACTGCGTTCATTGAATGCCGCCTTTCCTTGTCGATCTTGTTAATCATGTTTTGTCAATTGTATAGACATTGCACTCTCAATTATTTTTATTTAGGATGTGTTATGAACACAAGTTCATCTGTATTAACAGCAGTAAACAAGACGATGCTCTTGTTAATAAAATATTGAGAACGAAACTATCTTTTTTATAGCGTTTTTCATCTGCAGTTCAATGTATATGAAACAAAAGCTTTCCTTCTTTTTTTTTTAGATGCCAATGATAACATTGAAGTTGAAAACACGTCAGGGGTCACACTCACTGCAGGTTCTTCTGATGAGGCGATTATAGTGGCACAAAAAGAAGATCAAGAGCTTATTTCCTGGACAAAGGAGGCAACTCTCTTACTGATAGATGAGTATAAGATTCGTCAAACAAAAATTGACCAAGGGCGTCTTAGTAAGAAGAGGGCATTTGAACAAATAGCAGCTGAACTCCGAATGAAAGGCTATGTATTTTCACAAGACCAATGTGCATCACGTATGAAGACTATATATAGAGTATACAAAAATGTTAAGGACGCAAACGCAAAAAGTGGCAATGAACGTAAATCTTACATATTTGAAAAAGAACTGGATGAATTGTACAAAGACAAACTAAGTATAAACCCAAAATGTGTGGAAAGCACAGCTACTGCTTCTTCTACTACAGATGAAGATGAACAAGAAGAACTGGAACAAAAAGCTGAAAATTTGAAAAGGTAAAATGCAACTCCAGATGAGAAAGGTATTAAAAGAGCAAGAAAATCTTAAGTGTCAGACGTTTTATGTTTTATAGAAAGTCAATCAAAAGAAAATGAAAAGAGGCGCGAAGATCACGAGCAAAAAACACAAAAACGACATGAAGAAAAAATTGATCTGTTTAAACAGTTCTTATCCATTATGGAAAAAAGTAATAAATGTGTAATTAATGAAGACTTGTATCTGTTACTGTTTAAAGACTTGATATGTTAATGTTTCATCTGCTTTGATTACATTTGAGTATCATGATTATGATTTCTTTATGTCTCCTTTTTAGATATGTGCAAAGTTTGCCGGGAAGATCTAGCCTGTACTGTATTAATGGATTGTGGGCAAAATGTTTGTTGTGTAAGATGCACAGAAGAATTGGAAATTTGCCCAATATGCAGGAGTTGTATTAAGAAATGGATACGTGTTTATAAGGCTTGATTGTGACTGTTAAATTTTCATGAGCAACGTTCAAATTAAATAAATACTTTGTTTTACATTGAAGTTAAGCAACTTGATATCCTTTGAACATACACTGTTGCATTTTAGCTCACATGAGCATGTACAGCTTAATGCTGTTTTTTTCTTCATTTTTTTTCAGTTATACTTGTACATGTTACACATTGGTCTGTCACATTTCTTTTTTACAATTGAATCTTAATACATGTAGATAGGACTTAGAATCTTCATAGGCTAATAAGGGTTGTCGAGAACATGATCCATATTGTGTTAATGAGGTCACAGGTGAGGGGGTTTTTCTGATATAAAAACTTTTTTCGCTCACTTAACTTTTTTCGCTCACTTTGGTATATTGTTTTAATCATGATACATATGCATATGTTTGTTGAAGAACATTACCGCTATTGTGTTTTGAGTCAGTAGGTCAATGGTCAGTGTAATGAAAACCTTTTTTTCTTGATTATTAGTTAACTATTTTTATTTTGTCTTCAAACTTAATAATGATGTTGATCTTGTAAAGATTTACAACCAATTAATGATAGTCATTGTTAGCCTGAATTAAAACTTAAAATGGTGATTATTAATTTTCTTTATATCTGCAGAGTTTAATAATTTATTGGAACAGGAAATGTTCAATATATTGTTTTTGTCTAGTCAACTGTTTCTTGTTTTATTATCACTTGATTTTTTATTATTTTGCTGTTTTAACAGAAAATATCTGTATTAAAACTTATAAATTTGTTCAGAATGTTTGTTGTATGCATTTATGTCCCCAGATTATGTCTTATGGTTGCTCACAAACGTCATTGTGGGCTTTAAGGATCTGTGAATGTCGTCAGCCTTCTGTCCAAAATTCAATTAAACATCACTTGAATCACTGTGCATATTACAACAAAACTTCACAGTAATGGGTTTAAGAACTCAATTTCATGGTTGCCACGGCAATCAAAGAGAAAACGTCTTAAAACTGAAGGCATGTGCTATAAGAATAAAGGTATTAAGCATAATTTTGTGGACATCTAAGTTTATTTGAGTTAAAATACAGAAGATAATATATAAATTTATACAGGAAAATGTTTTGCTTTTTTGCCCTGAAATCACGCTTATACGAAATGGCACAAATCAACCACCATATGGCAGATTTATTGCATGATGTTTTTTTCAAGGCAAAACCACGACATTGTTACCTTGTCTTGTTTTCACCTTTTTGATGTTTCACTTTTTAGCGCCACAAATCAGCCAGTATTCAAGTCTAAATATTTAAAGTTTTGAATGGATCAGTTGTTCCCTGAAATTTGTACTGTAAAACAAATAATGCAAATAAATTATAGACTTTATTGTTGCTATTACCTTATGTAAAACCAAACACTCAAAGAACAATTTATTTCATTTATACACGAGCACCTCGCAAAATGGGAAAAACGTCTTTTGTGTAATACAAGAAACGCATAAACAGAAAACATTAAGCAACTATCCATCTAGTTAGGTCAGTTTTTTTTCTCAATATTTGCCATTGTCAACAAGTTTTCAAAGTTATGGTAGCAGCTGACATATTTGATTTCTTTTATTTGTGGCGGCTGCATCATTTTCTGCTGCTTGTGGATTTCGTGCTGGCTGAACTTGGTCTTCATTGAAGTACTCATCTAGTTCGTCAGATTCCATAATACAGATATTATGCAGAATACAGCAAGAAATGCACAGCTTAACGTCCACCTCAACCTTGTAAACATCCAAGTACTTGAGTCGTCTGAAACGTCCTTTGAGAAGTGAAAAAGACCGTTCTTTGACCTGACGTGATGCTGACAGACAATAATGTAATGTCGCTGCTCACGTGTTAAATGCCCATTGTCTCGAAATGGGGTCATAAGCCAAACTTTAAGGGGAAATCCACCATCTCCTATAAGGTGATGACCATCGTTGTGTAGCTGTTGTCCCTTCTGTCATAGGTCAGAGTTTTTTAAAACACGAGAATCATGACAACTGCCAGGCCATCCTGCAAAACAGTGAATATATCTCATGTCCTCACGACAAACACACTGAAGGTTTATCGAATGGTAGCCCTTTCTGTTCACGTATGTTTGAGGGTGCTCTTTAGGAGGTTTGATCTGAATATGGGTGCTATCAATGGCTCCAGCTATATCAGGAAAGTCTTTTTTCTCTTGAAAGACATTGACCACATGTAGTCGCTCCTGTCCTGTGGGCCAGACTATATACTTTAACTTCAAATGTTTAAGAAATACTTTACATATTCTTTTGCGAATGTTAAGTACTGAAAATTGAGTCACATTAAACCGATCTGCAATTCGGCACAATGGCTCTAGACTCCCAACATACCAGAGAAATATCATTAAATGGGTTTCAACTGTAATTGGACTCCGACCAGAAGAACGAACTACCTGGTACTCTTGTAGGAATGTCCCAACTTGTCTAGCTATCAATTCAAAAGTAGGCCTGGACATTCTGAAAAACATTCTAAAATCATCCAGACTGTAGCGTGGAACAACTTCATCCACATATCCTTCAACTCGGACCTTCTTTTCTCTTGATCTGTTAAAGTAAAAATAATATATATAATTAATTTTGACAAAAAATGTTTGGGCAAAACAATCTGATCAAGTATAACAGGCTACACATACATTCTTGGGGTCGTCACATATTTCAAGTGTATTTTCTGCTCACAAAAAGTTATTGCGTTGATAATGCAAGCAGTGCTAATTCATTCGTATCGTTTTCAGCTTCATCTTCTGAGCTGCTGCTTGTTTCAAGCAAAAAATCATATTACAGGATTGGAGCAGTACAGCTAGACGCTTGCAGAAATCATGATCACAAAATAGACAAATGTCGTTTTTTCGCCGATGTTTGCATTTTTCATTCATTATCATGCATAAATCGGTGTGAAAAGATGAATTAGACCTTTAAAAGTTCATTCCGTTGGTTTAAAAGGCAAGATTGTAGCATTTTATCATTTAGCGCCTTGTCCGGTATATACCGGAATACGGTATTTAGTGTGGTGCTCCAATCCTCTTTGGCTTGCGGCCACGGCCGAAAGGGTAAAAAATTTGACCGGGGCCATCATTCGAATATGTCCCCTGCCCCCAAGTCATTTGTTTTGGAAAACTTGTTCTGGTTAGGTGGTTTCCTGCTTACAATTTGTTAGCGCATGGTGGAATTGGAAACCAGTTTAGGTTTCCGCTGCAACCGTGACATTTGTGCGATTTCGTCATACTGCGGAATCAGACGAAGTAATATTACGGAAATTTAAGCTATTTTTAGTTACTTCGGTAATCCCAGTTTGTTCTTATAAATAGGATTTGTATTTTTACCTGATTTATCGGTTTAAAGAGTAAGTAGAAAGAAAAAATAAATTATGAACGAAAATATTCCGTTTCAATTCGTTTTCAAGACGCAAAAGTTAGTTTCTAAAAATAGCCCATGCATATCATTAACCTGACCACGTGCTGATCTACAGATAGCGCATCCTGTGTTGTCGGTATATCTGTGACAGGTAACATATTTGATACATGCATATTAATTGGTACCTTTTAGTGCATTTACTTGTCTATAAAACTGCTATTTAAATGAAACTGCCAAAACGAATGACTCTTTTTTCGAAAAAAGGGAAAATGAAATGTGCACGCTTGTTTCCCTTCAGTATGATAGATAGATACTTTTATTTCCTCGACGTGGGAGGGCCAATGTTAGTATTTTTACGATTGATTATTTTCTTTATTAGTTTTTTGACAAAAGAGAGTAGATTTCAAATCGTTTTTGACAAAAGAAATATTCGTTTTTACAAAAAAAGTTGCTACTGTTATCGTCAGCATGTTCCTGTTCAGTTATAATCAGTGGACTTCTGTTCCTTCTTTTGTCAAAATTTGCATGCATAACACTGGTGGCACAAATAGACACAGGTACTCATCGAGTCTTGGGATTACCCTACCTACCCCTTTAAAAGTGAAATATTTTTTTTTCGAAAACAAAACCCTAAATAAACCCTGTATGATATACAAATAATTAAAAAAATAGTGATAATAAATTGACCCACTATACCTGTAAAATCATAGGTACCTTGTTTTTTTACTGGTATATAAGGTCAATTTATTATTTTTGTATCATTCTTTCTTTATCATACAATTATTTTAAAGGGATGGGCACAACTGGGCACAACTGGGCAAGCCTTTCCTTTTTAAAGGAAACTTTATTTTAGTATCACTCCCGTTTATTTTGGTTCCCTGTCCTACTATGGTTCCCATTGAAGTGTGCTGGAGACCAGTCTGCGCATCCGTTTTCAAAAAAAATTCCTCGGCTTTTATCGTTATCTTTTAATTCGAAAAATTGCGATTATCGATTCCCATAATTTTGCAGTACTTTCGGCGAAAGTTTTTAAAGCCATCACTATCTTTACCATAAAGCTCGCTTCGCGAGCAGGACCTTCTGGCCTGCTCTTCGAGCTCGCTATTAATCCCGAAATTGGATTTTAAGTGAATTTATGTTAGTTGACGGGTAGATTCAATTTAGATATCGTACAAGTTAAAAGTTGATTCTGCATATCAAAGACGCCGCCAAATGATGTGAACAGTCACATGTAATGTACAAAATCTGAATTGAAAATCGTTCTCCACAGTTAAATATCCGAAGCACTTATCAATTTTTTCTCCATGTTCTTGTTACGTGTCTGAAAGTCTGAAATGTTTGTCTTTTGCGACAATGATTGAAACGTCTGGTCGAAGCAAAAAAAAATGGATAACAAGAAAAATTGACATGATTGGTAAACTTAAAATGAATTCAGGACAATGTGTGCCGAGAATATGTCCATTTAAATATTGGTGCGAATTGCATAATGTTCGTCCGAATGAATTTGAATGACTTTGAGGGCGAACTGTCTCTTATTTTATAAATAGCAAAAATATGTCGGTAATTTTATAATAATAGAAATGAAAAAAATGATATATATTTATAATCAATTCTTAGTTACTTTTTTTTTTCTTATTTATAAAAGATTAAACTATTTGATTAAACTAAAGATTGCATATTCGCCTAGAATCTAGGTATAGGATCACTAAATGTATTAAAAAATCAAGGTGTAAGAGAACAATCGTCAGTCACAGAATCCTTCAAAATAACCTATTGCAAATATTTGTGATACATTTAAAAATAAACGTACTTTTTTCAATCAATTAATCTATTTTATAACTTAAATGTTAATTATTTTCATGAATTACATGTCGAACACGTTTTGCCTGTTTTGCAAAAAATATTTCCGCTGTTTCCGTATTGCCAATGAAATCTCCGTTGCGTATTTTAATGATACCTCTTGTTCCCTGGTTCCCGTCATTAGACTAGAACGATCGACTATAGACTGGCTCACTGGCACGTTATTTATTAGGTAGAGATAATTATCAAAAGAATGTGATATTCAAACATGGCACTATCGCTTCAGTTAAACGTTTCTTTTAATCCCTTAAAGCTCTGTGACATTTTGTACATCATAAAAGCTATTTTTATTAGGAAATTTAAAAACAATGTGATTTTGTTAAACCAAGAAAACAATGCACAAAATCAAGTTTGAAATGTCCCCAGTTGCTATATGAACAAATGCATATCTACTAGACGGCGCATGCACGCTGTCTAATAAAACATGAAATGACCGTTTTTTGAGGTTAAAATAATGTTTGGTAGTGTTGAGCTAATTGTGCGACCGAAGGTGTACCGTACAGTTCTATGTTCTTATTAAATCAAGATTTAAGATTTCAAGATTTTATTCAAAACTAAGGCATATAATATGCATAAGGTTATGATAGATCAACAATATAATGAACAGTTATTCAAAAGTGGTTTTGTAAAGTTAAGGTGTAGTTTTAAAACGTGCAGCTGCCGATAGGTATAATAAATATAGTATACGAACTATTATTTCTTTTAAAGAGCTCGCTTGAGGTTTTGCTATATTCATATTATGATTTTCAAAGTTTATTCACATAAATGAACAGGAAATTAAAGTTCAATGTAAATCAATAAAAAAGGATGGAGATAAAACATCTGTTTCTCCAGAGTACACTGCCAGGTTCGTTCACCCTAATACACATCGTGAATTATTCATCACTGTTGAAAACAAAGTACTGAAAGCACCGGATATTGCTGAGGGAATTGCATAAAGGATTAAACATCATCATGTTGCACCAAGAAATGTCTACATTAACAAAGGGCACCTGACTTTTATGGGGCTTGGATAGAGACCTCTAATTATGATCCCTAGACATGTATTAGGTTTCATGTGAATATTTTCTGTTTTCTTTCCAAAACTGATGTTATATGTTTAAGTTAAAAATAAATGCCATGAGTATATACTAGTACATGTCATTATAGACTTGCTTGCAAAACTTTTTCTAACCTCAAAAAAGGCTTTTACCTTGCTAAGTCCTTTAAGTTTTAGTATGTAACATCAATTTTCAGAATTGCAGGCATTAATTTTGTATATGTTTTCAGGATCATAAATGGAGGTTACTCTCTGAATTCCATGTGAGAATACATCAAAGATTCCCATTTTAAATTTTGAAAATATCTCGACTTTCTGAAAGTTAAGCCATTTACACAGTACAAACATATGGATATAAAATCGTACATGTTGTAAATACGTCTAAGGAGTGTCAATTGACTGAAAATATGTTATTTTAATTAACTTGGGAAAGTTGCCCCACACATAGTTCTCATTACACATGTTCACATTTAAATTACCATTGATTTATTTCATATTGACATGTGTATATAAACAAAACATATCCAATTTAAGTCATTTCTCGCCCGGACGCGTTAGCAGAAGGACTTAAAAGTGATTTAGAATAAGAGATTTTCAAGCCGACAACAAAGATGCCACGTTGTAGGATTTACTTTCTAGTGATTGCAGTGCTCATTATTCTTGAAAGTACTTTTGCTGCTCCATCAGGAAAAAGTAAACATTCTCAAAGTAAGTTTTCTTTTTCTTATTCCCAATTTAAGGCTTACTTAGTTTGATATTTTTTTTCTTTATCTTTTTTCTTTGTGTATTTTTCATTTGCTATTTGAAGTTTTTATATCCACTAAAATGGAAAATCAGAAGAAGCTACATTAAATTGGGTTCACGTAATAAAAGTGATAGTACTTGCATTCTTTTCCTGAAAGTTTAGAAGATAAACAAAAATCAAAAACGTCATTGCCGTTGAAAACTGGAAGTCATTAAAATATACCTGTCATGTTCCAAAACATGTGGAAATTTTGGATTTAAACATGTTTTTGACATCATCCTTAGTTGTTTCTGTATATAAATGGGTTAATTATATAGTTATAGACGAACTTTTGAGATTTTTTTCATTTTCCATATTTTCACTGTAAAAAATATTTTGCAGTGAAACAAATTTTCGTATAAGTTTCTTCTAAATTCAGCTAATACACAAACTTTTCTTGGGAACGTAATTGTAATGAAAAATTAAAAAAAAAGATAAATAGATAGATACATTCAACACTTGAAGAAAATGAATCCTGTATTTATAGAAAAAACTTGAATATCTTCTATTTATTGCACTAAAGGAACTATCCAATATTTCTAAAAAAATAAGGTATTCGATATCTAAATAATTTCCATCCAATATTAAAGAAATACTGGACAGTTATTTTTTCGTACTTGCAGATGTGTCTCATTGCGGGACATTATTTTTGCATTAATTAACAATTTAGTCTAACCATACTTTCATGGTTCTTTGTTGTGATTTTACATAATTTTAAAGGGCATGTTTTCTCTTGTTTTTTTTTTGGTACCCTATGTGGTTTGTTCATCGATCACTGTTTTCCCGTCTTACTTTTAATGTATTTTACTATTATATGTACTATATACTAGCACAGGTAGATCGCAAAAAAAGAGGATTGTTGAAGGATTCACTAGTGTAGTAAATACATGTATACAGTTATTGCAAATTCACAATTATTTGCCCAAAACCTTTTCCAAATATCCGTAAAACATCTGAAAATGAAGTTCATTTTTTTTAAAGCTATGTCCGTAACTTGCAAACCTATATTTTGTGTATAATGTTGATTAAAAACCATTGTTTCTTTCTTGCTTTTTTTAAATTTTATACGTTTTATTATATGTAATTATAGCGCACATTTGCTTATTTATGTTCTTTTTTTAAAGAAAGAAATTTTATGTATACACACGTAGTAGTTTTTTTAAAAGCTCTCTTTTAACATCTGTTAT